ACAAAAATGTCTGCATGCCTCAGCATCCACGTCTACGAAACCAGTTGCTGAACGAGAAGAACTTAATTTTGTGATCGTAACCCATGACTGTCAATCAAGACGGATTATAAACAGCGTTCCGCTTGTGCGGCTCTTCTGTAATTTGAAACTTCTGTTTTGCGAGAATCTAAAGTTTTAATAGGGCAGCTGTGACTGTTGCCAAGCATGACAATGTTGTCTATTTGTTCGAGTGGAGCGAGATTGTTTAGAAGGAAAGGAGAAAACAGGCTAGAAATATGCTCTCAAAGCTCAGTTAATTTGAAGCCATTGTGTTTAGTCTTTTAGGCCGCGGAGGGGATCCGTGATCCGTTAACACAATGATGGTAACTTTAAGGCGACCTCGCCACAACGGAACACGGCAATTTATGCGAGAAGTTCGCCATCCCGAGAAGTCTCATGGCTGTATGGAATTTCGCGAGATTACTCTGAAGGACCCGGTCGTAGATCCCGAGTGGATATTTCACCATCCACGCTTTAGAGCCGAAACATTCACACATGGAGAGAAAATCACTCCAAGTGACGGATTGTTGAGCAGTAAGAAGGTTTATAGACGCGTTCCGAGCGCGGGTGGAGAAGTGCGTTCCAGACTTCTTTGTGAACGAAGGGAGGGTGAGGGAAACGAAACGTCTCGACACTTTTGCGAATTACTAGGTCCCAATCTGTGTAAGGAATGCTGGAAGCTTGTGCAAAGAACGGAAGCATTTAAAGAACATCGTGACAGGTTCCCTAGCGAACTGAAAAGATCTGAAAGATTTAAGGACCCTTTTAGCCAAGTGATATCCTCGCATGATCGCAAACTCGAAGACAATGACAGCGAAGAAGAGCTTTTCGATGAGACAGAGGACGAAGAATTTATTTCAACGTCGATTTCCGCAAAGAAACGAAGCACGATTACTTCCCCATACGACAGTGGCTATTCAAGCCGAATGAGTTATATTCGAAGCCTTAGTAGGACCCCCTCAGGCGAAGTATGTCCTCGCGTGACTTCACGTTCACGTTATGCGCGCGGCGGAGCAAGGGTCCATGAGGACAAAAGGGAAATTTCTCCCAAAAACGGCGAGGTGTTTACGACTCCTATTTGGAAAAATGCCTACTTAGCTAAACTGCGCGAGATAGAACCATTCAGAGAAATTTTGACGAACACACTTCACTATCCTAGAAAGGTGAGACACGTTTGGCGAGACTTACCGATAGAGCCAGTCCTCATGGATTTGAAATTAATTAATTTTACCATATACGACGGTGCAAGACTCAACGGAAAAGGGGATATCAAAATTTCAAAGTAATTTATATCAGTAACACATGGAAATTGATAAAGAAACTGCGATTAGTAATATTATTTTTGCAAGACGACTGGGAGAACCGAAAAACAACCACTATGAAAATGTAATATAAGCTTTGAGATGCATCTGTATAGATATATGAATGGAAGTAAAGTGAATTAAGAAGCATAAATTAAATGAGAAGGACATCAGCTTATTTGGTACCTTTGATTTTGTGTTTGGAGTTCTCCGCTGAATGTTGTATTTTGTTACGTGAAGTCGAAGTGGCGCCCTC